GGGTCTCAGATTACAAGAGGGCACAGGCCAAGCCAAGGGACCCCACCAATACATGATCAGGGCCAGGGAGGGACTACGGGAGGACTCCAGGGTGTGTCCGGTCCATCTTACCCAGTCCTGATCGACTGGACCCCAGCAGCAAGCTAACCTACCAGTCGGAGCATCTGCCTCCTGGTGGTCAATGCACGTCATAGCAAATGTTCAAACAGTTGAACGAATGGTCAGACACCTAGCATATTAGGCTTTTGTTATATAGGATGGTCTCCTTTTATCCCCATTGACCCCCTCCAACCACTCCCACACTCTCCCCAGGTCTTCACCATAATATTGTCTATATCCATGGGTTATGCATATATGCATATAGTTCTTTGGTTAATCTCTTCCTGCACCCCTCCCTTCCCTCTGGTATATATCAATCTCTTGCATGCTTCATTCTCTCTGGTTCTATTTTGCTCATCAGTTTATTTTGTTTATTAGAGTCCACATATAAGTGAGATTATGTGATACTTGTCTTTCTCTTACTGGCTTATGTCACTTAGCATAACATTCTCCAGGTCCCTCCGTGCTATATCTCAAATGGTAAGAGATCCTTCCTTTTCACAGTTGCATAGTATACCATTGTGTAAATATACCATAGTTCTTTAATTCATCTACTGTTGGGCACTTGGGCTATTTTCAGATATTAGCTATCATAAATAATGCTGCTATAAACATAGGAGTACATATATTCTTTCTGATTGGTGTTTCAGGTTTCTTAGGCTATATTCCTAGCAGTGGGATCACTAGATCAAATGGTAGTTCCATTTTTAATTTTTTTTAGTAAAGTCCACAGTTTTCCATAGTGGTTGTACCTGTCTGCCTTCCTATCAGCAACGTACTAGGGTTCCTTTTTCTCCATATCTTCACCAGCATAATAATGATGATGATGATGATGATGATATCCAAGTTACTTAGCACAAGTGGAAGAACCTAACCATCTAAGATAAAGAATTTGTGAAGTATGGCCTGAAAGCAGAAAAAATTCAGATGCACCTCAGATATTGAGAGAAGACAAACTCTTTATCTCTAAAACTCAGCTACTGACAAGATTTCCTTATAGGATTATTCAGGGACTCAGGAATAAGACAAAGGTCTGTTTTAAGTTCTCAACTTTATCTCTTAGATATTTTGAAAATCTCTATCTTGGAAAAATAAACAAAGAATTTAATATTAAATCCTTTCAACACAATGTATTCTTGATTTCCTAAAAGATTCAATGGACAACAGAAACCAAGAGGTAAACAAAATAAATATTGAGATGAAAAAAAAAAAAGGCTATATAAAAATAGAATTAAATAAAATATATGAAAATGGTGGAGAAACCAAGATGGCAGCATAGGTAAACACCTAACTGCAGCCTCACACAATTTCAAAAAATACAACTAAAATATAAAATGGACATTATCCAGACTACAGGAAAGTTGACTGACTGAAAATTCTATAACTAGAAGGAAAGAGAAAACCAGAAGGAAAATCAGAGGAGCTGTAAAAGCCTAAGGTACAGAGACATGGTGCGCACGTGAGGAGAGGACGGAGCCAGAGAGGAGGGGGGGGCTGATTGCCTGGTTGGCGTTCCCTAGCGGGAAGGAGACAAAAGCTCCGGACTGTGCTGAACCCTAGTTCTGACTGCACTGAACCCCAGTTCTGGGAGAGACCCTGGGATCCTGGGCTCATACAGAGGGATTCTAGGCTGTAAGGTGAAAACTCAGGAGAGCAGCAAAAGGCAGAGCCCCAGAGTCACGCACATTGCATGCAGAGGACTGACTGTTGACTGTACCAGTAGATTGCCCTAGCGGGAAGGAGACAAAAGCTCGGGAATGCACTGAACCCCACTTCCAACTACACTGAACCCCAGTGGGAGAAAGACTAGACTGTCCAGTAGTGGGCAAAACTCGAGGGCACCTTTCTATCAGAGGTGCTTGCAGCGAGTACCAAAGGACACTGAGGAACACTGAGACTCAGGAACCTCATAGGGCAGGGCTGACAGGAAGCCAATGCTGTAGGCTCCACCCTGAAACTCTGCCCCATCCACGCTGAGCATAGAGGCTTTTGAATAAGGCTGTCTCCTGGCATACACACAGCTGATCCTCACAGCCAATTGGCCTGGAGGTCAGTTCCTCCCAGTGATACCAACAACAATCAAGACTTAACTACAACAAGGCTGTACACACAGTCCACAAAGGGGTTCACCAAGAGTGTTCACCTCAGGTAACTGGGAGGCTGACCAACTGAACCATATAGGACACCTTAATACACAAAGCCACCCTACCAACTCAGGGAAGCAGCGAAAATGCCGAGACAAGGAAACAGATCACAAATGAAAGAAATGGAGGACAAAAAGCAACTGGATATAGAGTTCAAAACCACGCTTATAAGCATTTTCAAGAATTTCCTAGAAAAGACTGATAAAATAAACGAGACCTATGAGGATATGATAAGGGATCAACTAGAAATAAAGAATATATTGTCTGAAATAAAAAATATTATACAGAGTCCTAAAATCAGAATGGAAGATCACAAGAATCAAGACAAAGGTTTGGAACACAAAGAGCCAGAGGACACTTCCGCAGAAGCAAGAAGACAAAAGAATCCAGAAAGTTGAAGATAGTGTAAGAAACCTTTGGGACAACTTCAAGCAAACCAATGTCAGAATTAAGGGGGTCCCAGAAGATGAGAGAGAGCAAGATATTGAAAACATATTGAAAGAAATAGTGAAAGAAAACTTCCCCCACCTTGTGAAAGAAATTGACTTACAAGTCCAGGAAGCGCACAGAACTCCAAACAAAAGGAATCCAAAGAGGACCACACCAAGACACATCATAATTAAAATGCCAAGTGCAAAAGGCAAAGAGAGAATATTAAAAGCAGCGAGAGCAAAGAAGGTAGTTACCTGTAAAGGAGCACCTATAAGATTGTCAGCTGATTTCTCAACAGAAACCATGCAGGCTAGACAGGAATGGCAAGAAATATCCAAGGTGATGAATAACAGGAACCTACAACCAAAAATACTCTACCCAGCAAAGCTATCACTCAGAATCAAAGGTCAGATAAAGAGCTTCACAAATAAAAAAAAACGCTAAAGGAGTTCATCGCCACCAAACCAGAATTATGTGAACTGCTGAAGGGGGTTCTTTAGGAAGAGGAAGAAAATAAAGATAAAAATTATGAACAACAAATATGTAACTATCAACAAGTGAATTAAAAACCAAGGGAATTAAAAAATCTGATGAACAATATTAACTGTTGAATAGAATCAGAGGTATGGAAGGGGAATGGACTGACGATTCTCAGGGAAAAGAGGAGTGGATGGTGCGGGAACAGACTAAACATAAACTGTGCACCTATGGATGAGGACAATGGGGGATGCGGAAAGGGCAGAGGGTGGGGTGGGAACCTGGTGGAGGGGGGGAAAAAATGAGGAACTTTTGTAATAATATGAACAATAAAGATTTATTTTAAAAATAAATAAATAAAATATATGAAAATGGTAAGAAAGAGTACTTAGTCTTATTTGTAACCTTTATAAAATATAGTCTAGGACCTGGGTCGTGGGAAAATGAAAGATATAAAAAAATACTTGATTTTTAAAAATAATTTTCAGTCTATTTAGAGTAGGAAAAAAATTCTCTCCATTTGTCAATATAGTAAGATCAAGCTAAAAATAGAAACTAAAAATATTCTAGAATCTTAAAAAAACCCTTTTTACAGAATCAAATTATAGACGATATGTTAAGGGATGACTATTTACATATATATGATGTTTAAATTTTAGACCATGTTAACACTAAAGAGTTTAATTTGACAAGTACCCATTTAAAAGCATATTGAATTTATGTTTGTACAGAAAGACTACTGACTTTGCCATACCATGTTATACAAACATAACCATAGGTGTTTTTTTTTGTAAGGTTAATTTTAAATATGGAGCTGCTTTAGTAATCCACATTAATTTAAAAAAAGATAGTAACATTTGCACAGTCTTGTAGTAGCTTAAATTATTCCCTTAAAAATAATGTAAATATTCAAAATTGCATATAGAGGAAAAAGTTAAGACACTAGACTTCATAATCATATTTAAAATTAATCTAATTTTTTTCATTTTAAATTCACTGATACACACATATAACAATCACTGTATACATAAATACATACATACATACATAAACTCTAGCTCCCACTCAACCATTTTGTAATTTTATAAAGAAAAAGAACAAAAAAACCTCTATGGAAAAGTGAAGTCTTTACCTAAGCTTTACTACTTCCAGAATTATCCCTTCAAATTTATAATGTATACACCCACTTCTATCTCTAGCTCCATCTATAACTTTAATTATTAGATTTTTATTATTGTTGCTATTTAGGCAAACGCACCACTTAGAATGAGAACAAGATATTTCTATCTTCCTCCTCCAGATAGTGTCTTAAGGACATCGTAAAGCAGTCTGAAATAAACACACATATTTACACAAACAGAAAAAACACACAGGGAAAATTGTAGAACACAATCTGAGTTTATAATTTACTTTTCAAGTATTGCATAAAAAACTAATTATACATTTCTGAACATATTATGCTTAAATTCCTAAGCAAAAGTGAACTCCAATACCTGCCATATTAAAAATAAAGCAATGGCTACCTAAAATAAATTTCCCATTTAAAATAAATATATATATATCATTAAAATTTTGTATCAGTTACTGTTCTTGCTGTACCTTCCAAATCTATATTTTTGTTCTAAGATATTACTAAATTACGTTATTTTATATTGGGTATGAATAGTCATTGAGTAAATTAAAAATATGAGCAAATTCAAAAAAGCATGTCAACAATAGTTTTGAAAATTTTCTTTTTAAAAAAACTACCCCCATTTTTATTGAATAAATCTTTCATCCCACAAAAACTTTCCAGGTTATATATAAATCAATTTCTCAAGTACTTAATGAACTTTATGTTCCACTTACATGATATCATTAAGTAGTCTTCAGAAGTGCTCTTCATATCCTCTTCTTCCTCATCATCATCATCTTCAGTTTTAATAGTAACTGTAGATCCAGGAACACCACCAGCTGTTTGAATCACAGTTTCTGTATCTGAATTAGTTACAAGAACCTCCTCAGATACCATTGTGGGAGAGTCAACTCCTGAAACACAATCTTGAACCACATGTTCTAAGTGTCCATCAGGACCAGTAACAATGTCAGCCACAAAAACCTGGTCAGGTACTCTAACGGTTTCTGTAATTAGCTCAGAAGTCAAGATGTGATCACCATCATCTTCCTCGATATCCTCTTCAATAGCAACATCAGCTTCAAGTACAGCTTCAGGAACAATTACACCTTCTGTTACTACATCGGTCTCAGTGATGATATCAGGCCCATGAACAACTTCAGCTGCAAGGCCATGATCAAGAGTTATCCCATCATCTGTGACAACATCAGAAACTAATACAGCCTCAGGGACTGAAACAACAATATGGTCTCCATCGATATGCGCAGTACCAGCCATTCCAGCCACTATAATATAAACAATTATCCAAAAGTAGTTACATTATTAATTTAAAAAAACTGTACTTAATATATTAGATGACATAAAATATTTTAAGTAAGAAATAGTCCTGGCCAAGCTATCTCTTAAAAAATGCACTGATAATTAGAATGTAATAAAAATCATCACCAATCAGGGTTGAAAACAATGTTCACAAAATCTAAATTAGAACCTTAAAATGATGTATTTTATTTTTAAGTAAAACATAAAGTCACAATGATATATCACTACACACCAATTAGAATAATTGAAATAAAAAACAAACAACAGCACAGGTGGTGAGAATGTAGAGAAAATTGATCTCTCATATTTTGCTGGTGGGAATGTAAAATGTAGCAGACACTCCGGAAAATAGTTTGGCTGTTTTTATAAAGCTAAACATGTACTTACCATACAACCCAACAACTGCACTCTAGGGAGTTTTCCACAGAATTATTAAAACATAGGTTAATAAAAAAAAAAAAAATAAACTACACATAAATACTCATAACAGCTCATAATAACTACTACTCATAGAAGCAAAGCATTGAAAATAATCCTAATGTCCTTCAGCAATGAATGGTTTGCTAAACCAACTCTGGCACATCCTTACTATGGAATACTACTCAGCAATAAAAAAGGGACAAACCATTGCTACATTCGAATGAATCTCCAAAAAATTATGCCAAGTGCAAAACACCCATTACCATTGCTACATCCTGAATGAATCTCCAAAAAATTATGCGGAGTGCAAAAAACCCATTACCAAAGTTTACAATACTGTATAATGTATAAATGGAATAACTTCTATAGCATTCATAAAATAAAATAAAAAACTACACAGGAAAATAGATTAGCAGTTGGGTATGTGTGTGACTGCCCTCCCCTGCTGGTCATCTTGTGGTGGCCATCTTTTGTCCACATGGGGGCAGCCATCTTGTGTGTTGGAATGATGGTCAATCTGCATATTACTCTTTTATAAATAGGATAAAGGCCTGGTGCATGGGTGGGGGCCAGCTGGTTTGCCCTGAAGGGCATCCCAGTTCAGAGTGGGGGTTCCCTTGGGGCATGGGGTGGCCTGGGCAAGGGGCCTGTGGTGGTTTGCAGGTTGGCCACGCCCCCCAGCAACCCAAGTGGAGGCCCTGGTATCTAAACTTTGTAGCCTGGAGTGGAGCCATAGGCTGACCAGGGCAGGTGGAAAGCTTGGCTTCCTCCATCACTGGGGAAACCCAAGCCACCCTCCTGCTCTCTCCATCCATAGTGATTGGGTTAATTTGCATACGCACTCCTAATTGGCTGGTAGGTGTGGTTTGTGGTGTAGCAGAGTGATGGTTAATTTGCTTATTCCTCTTTTATTAGATAGGATAGATACAGTGGTGCCTCACACAACGAATTTAATTCGTTCCAGGAGCAAGTTTGTTATGCGAAAAGTTCGTTATGTGAAACGTGTTTTCCCATAACAATACATGTTAAAAAAAATAATTCGTTCTGTAGCATAAAATATGTTAAGATGACATAAAAAAAGATAAATTTTTTGTTATTATTTTTATTTAGATACATCATGATATAAAAAAAATATTGAGTTTAACTTAAAAGGACGACTGCCGTGATACGTGCGTGATTTAATTCGTAATGAAGAACGACTGCCGCGATACGTGCTTAAGTTAAGCGCAGTGACTAACGACTGCCTGCAGTGCCTGCGTGGAAGGATGCAATACATCGGCAGTGATCGTGGAAGCTCGAGCGAAGCAGTCGTGGAAGCTCGGGCAAAGCGGTCGTGGAAGCTCGGGCGACTTTGTTGTGTGAAACGAAGTTCGTTGTATGAATCATGAAATGAAGTTCGTTGTGTGCAGCGTTCGCTGTGCGAGGCGTTCTTTATGCGAGGCACCACTGTACCTGAAAGAGTGCTATCTGCTATAGATTATTCACTACTATAAACCAATTATTTATGGCATTAGTTAACAAGTTTGAAGATCAATGGACACTGTTAATACCTTAATCCGTTAAAAAAAGTGAGAAGGGAAAGCTGCCTTTGAGGATAATCTTCCTTTCTTTTTTTTTAAATATATTTCTTATTAATTTCAGAGAGGAAGGAAGAAGGAAAGATAGAAACATCAGCGATGAGAGAAATCATTGATGGACTGCCTCCTGCACGCCCCACACTGGATCGAGCACGCAACCCTGGGCATGTGCACTTGGCCAGAATCGAACTGGAGACCCTTCAGTCCAAAGGCCGATGCTCTATCCACTGAGCAAAACCAGCTAGGGCAGGATAATCTTTCTTTCAACGCTTCTGTATCGATCTCACTATTCTCAAACTGTTACCTAAATCACCACATTACCCTAGAATAGTGGTCGGCAAACTGCGGCTCATGAGCCACATGTGGCTCTTTGGCCCCTTGAGTGTGGCTCTTCCACAAAATGCCACGTGCGGGCACGCATGTACAGTGTGATTGAAACTTCATGGCCCATGCGCAGAAGTCGGTTTTTGGCCTGGGCAAGTCTATTTTGAGGAAGTATTGTCAAACACTCAAGGGGCCAAAGAGCCACATGTGGCTCAGGAGCCGCGGTTTGTCAACCACTGCCCTAGAAGAATAGAGCCTCAATCTTGAAATCTAGTAGACAAAAGGAGTGTGTATATAAGTAGTTTTTTCTCTTCACTTATTATTCCAGGGCTATTTTGGAGACAGGGAGGCCAGGTTTCAAATTTAGCATTCAACTAGACTGGCAATATCGTTTTTTGCAAGGAAAATTTAAATGTTAAGTCTATAAAATTAACAGTATGAAAATTCTATGCATATAAACAACAAATTAATATTTTATAAAACTTATTCACAATTCAAACTTAAATTATAGGAAATTCCATTTACTTTAGAACACTGCTGGAGGTTAGTTTGGTTCTTGAGAGTAGACACTAGGAAAGGATGGTATAATGCAAGTGCTGGCCTGAGTTCATATTAACCTGATTGGGAAGATTCTAAAACAGCTGGAGTGTTTTTCTGATCACCTAGCCTCTACTCTAATAGGAACTTACAGGTAAAAATAAATCATACCTAAACCAAAAGAAATCTGAACATCCTTTCTTATCCTGAACTAGATAATCTCAAAGAGCTTAGAGTAAGAATCAATGAGTTTTCCACAGGGTACTGGCATATTATTCAGACAAAGATCCAAGACTCCTATGAAATTTTGTTCTTTCCTCTTACAACTGATCTGTTAGATTCCACTGAATTTCTAAACAGTCACACAGTTAGCTATACAAAAGCTTTATTTATTGAGCACTGACTATGCACCAAGCAACTTGCTAATGCTTTTACATATATTATCTCACTTAAGCCTCAGAACAACTGTATATTAAGGTGAGTTGTTATTATCTCCATTTTAAATATGAACTATGGTTAAGACGGATTAAATAAGCTTGCCCTAAGCTCAAGCTGGGAATTAACCTATTTGACTCCAGACTGGACTTTATTTTTTAAAATATATTTTTATTGATTTCAGAGAGGAAGGAAGAGAAGGAGACAAAAATATCAATGATGAGAGAAAAACATTGATCGGTTGCCTCCTGAACTGCGGGACTCTAAATTAAAGATCTGGAAGTAGTTCTCAAATTTGCCATCTTATTGCTCATAAAAAGTAAGTGTATAATGAATGAAGTTTTGCTTTCTGTCCCATAACATGTTTACATGAGTATAACTGTGTCTATGTGTCCTTTCCCTAATTCAAATAAAGGTACTGTTTTGATTGGCTGTTTATCCTGTGGTTTCATGTACACATTGGCACATTCCTCAAGGGCACTCATACTCCAGTCTGAGATGCAAAGCTTTAGGTTAAATACAAAAAGCATTCTGATGCGTTAAAAAGTATTCTAAGAAGTCAAATGTCTGCCAACTGATGAGTAGATAAACAAATTTAGCTTACCCATGTAATAGAGTATTATTTAGCAGTAAAAATAAATTAAGTATTAATACATGCTACAATATGGATATAATTTGAAAACATTATGCTAGGTGAAAGAAGCCAGACACAAAAGGTGACATATATGATTCTACTTATATGAAATGCCCAGAACAGGTAAATCCATGGGCAGAAAGATGAGGGGAGGAAGGGGAGAAAGTAACTGCTAATGGGTATGCGGTATATTTTTATCATGACAAAATGTTCTGAAATTAGGTAATGGTGACAGCTGCACTTTGTAACTCTATTGAATTGTATTCTTTAACATGGGTGAATTGTATATTAATTATAACTCAATACAATTAATAAAAGAATGTACATAAAACATGTCAATACACATGCTACTTCCCTAGCAATTAAAAGGAAATAAAGTATTAGATGTAATAAAGGATTAATTTACCATGAAAAATAACAGGAGGAGGAACAGTGAAAAGGAAGAGGAACACCAAATATTTACCAGCATCGATCAAATTTTTTCCCCCCAATCTTTGACGGGAAATGCTACATTGCAGATAACATTTTGTATTAAATGGAGAAAATACTATATTTCTTCCATTTAAAAAATATCTATTATTAAAAGGTAACAAATTAAAGTTGGCATTTCAATCAAAACATATTTAACATATTGAAGTGCATGTGTTCCTATATTTTAAAAACTATCTCTAGCAAAGAATTCACAAAATTATTTGTGAAATCTTAACTCTTCAGCCCTTTGCCCTACCTTTAAAATTTATTCCTGTACTTTTCCCACACCAAATCACTTCTAATTTATTCATTATCAACACAATTCACTTCTGACTCTTAGAATAAATCCATGACTTCTTTCTATTTCATCAATTAATGACACAGTCATCTTGATCTCCAACACATTTGCTCTTGAACTACGCACTGTACCTTTAGTCATCAGGCCCACACAGTACCTTCAGACATCAGGCAGAAATATCAAGGAGTCAAAGAATTGAAGAACACCTTAAATGTTATCTTGTCCAACCCCTTCATAAAAGTGAATTAAATAATTTGTCCAAGTTTACAGATAGTTGATAGGACTAGCAAGATCGAAATTCATTTTTTTCTGGGCTTTCCAATGGAATAATTAATTCAACCATATTATCTGAAAACAGAAGTAGTATTTTCTTAATTAAGCAAAGAATCTCTATCTTTAATTTCACCTCGTTTTGTTTACTTTTTATCCCAATTTACCATTTGTCTTTTTTACACTCATACTCTATGATCTTTTCTTCAACTACTATAACTCTATCCCTACATCTTATACTTCAGATACCTCTATCTTCTATCATTCATATTGACCTTACCCAAATTCAGTTTCTTTGTGGACTCTCAAAGGAGTCTTCACATTTTCATAAAAATTGAGACTACTGAAAAATGTTTATAAAAATAAGGAATATTTTTTTTATTTTTTAAAAATGTAATGCTATTAATAACAACTTTCTGAGAATACAGTATCAGAATACAATTGATCACCTAGTGTACAATTTTCCTGTATCACTTTATAAGCATCTAACTCCTTTAAAATGATTTAAGTATTTCTTTATCCAGCTTTATTAACAATTCAAATTAAAATATATTTTAGAAATCTAACTTAATATTTCCTACATGGAAGAACTGATAGTTATTTGTGCAAATTGAATTTTACATTTCCAATGGCATATTACCATTATATTCCAAGTTTCCTTATCTCAACTTTCCCACAAAATTTTAAAAACAGTTTTAAGTAGACAACGGACATATAGCTGTACTTTAATAAGTCCTACAAATGTGTTTTCCTAGCAAGAGAACAATATCTCATTGTAACTCTCCTCTTCTGCAGTGTAGTTTTGATATTTCATTTGTTCTGACTTATAAAAAAGTACAACAAAGAAAATGCTTTACCAAAATCTTGCATAATCATGGTATGGGCCATTCTAGAGTCTGATGTGTACAATCCAAGACTGCCTCCTCCACATGAATCCATACTTAGCAAAGTTCATTCACAAATCTCTGTAAAAGAAATGGTTTTTTAAATAGTTTAAAAGCATGTAGGTCAGTCAGTTGTTTTGAGAAAAAAAATGCAATTGAAAACATGCCTTTCAACCAGGTGTGCAAATTTTATTACAAAAGAAAACAAAACAAAAACCTTGATTAGATGCTTTATGTGACAACCATAAATTATAGAAGGGCCAAGTGGAAGTAAACCAAAGATAATGGAGAATGAGACAGAGTAAGTGTAGTGAACCATAGAGAAGTGAAAGAAGCAAGCAAAAGAACAAAACTGTAGTGTTGAAGTTCCAGTTAAAATATAGGTTATAAAAGCAGAAGAAAAAGAACAAGATGACAATAGTTGGGATATTTATACATTACTAGAGGACTCAGGTGTCTAGTATTAGTGAATTTCCTCCAGTGGCTCTCATCCATTTCTTCCAGACCCAGATCAGCCCTGCAGCCGAGCTCTGCAGATAAACGTGTTTCACCTCTGGCTCCAGGGGTTTTACTTATAATGTAAAATGTTCTATCCCAGTTTCCCGGGAGTTCTTTGAGTCAGTAAGGACTTCTGAGCTCACTCTACTACATTCTCTTGTCTCACAGTTTTGAGGACTCATGAAACATGACTGCTTCCTAAATATGGTAAAGATAAGATCAATCACATACAAACATTTTAGCAAAGCGTTTTACAGAATATAGTTTACTTGCAATTGTATGATGGATTTTTTCCATTAATGATTACTAAAGTCATGTTAGCCTCATACTAATTTTGAAAGCAAGGGATCAACATATTTCATTTCAAATGACTTATCTAAGATCACCAGATGTATGAAACCTAAACTCATGTGCTGTCAACATATTTTTTATAACTACTTATGTGTATTTCCTCATTAAACTTAAGATTCTAAGTAAATCTACCAAAAAATCTGTAAATTTTATAACAATTATCTCCTTTTTAGATAGGAGTGTTTAATAAATAGGACTATACTGCACAAAAGATAAGACTATATCATTAATAAACATTTTAGAAAGCTGCTATGTAAACTAACTTTATCCTTAAGTACAGGAGATGACAAAGATTTTTTCCTTGCCTTAAAGTTCTATAAATGGAGGAGAGTCTCACAAAGTAACCTCTGTACATAACATTTGAGTCATGTATATAAAAATCCTACAGCATATCAAATATTTTAGATAAAATTATTTGGTTATGTGTGAGCAAAATCACGAAGTTTTAGAAATTCTTGGTCGTATTTTATCTTTTTAAAAATACCACAAAATGTTTTCTGCCTTCAAAATGAAGTCAAGAGCGTTCACAATAAACTGTGTGTTCAGAGGTAAGTTAAAATGCCATGAGAACTCCTTAGAATTAAAAACATTGTACTATTTCAACTTTAATTAAAGCAATTGTTTTCTTTATTACTAATAGAACAATTATAAATGTCTTTAAATGTTTTAAACAATTTTGTTTAGCTATGAAATAAGATAAAACACTATAATTTGTTAATCACCTTAATATAGAGTCTTGAAGAAACTGTAGATTTTTCTTACATAGTAAAATAAAATCTGCAGCAATTTCTTTTTATTTTTCCTTCTGAGCTATATTATTTTCTTGGGGGGGGGGAAGTTTTCTTTACCTATTGTAAAAATACATTTAGAATTAGATATTTTAAAACATTTTAAACCAAAACTCTTACACAACTCAGAATTTTTCTTTACACTTTCAATTTGGGCTGATATGCTCAAATCTATTAATATAAAAAGCAACCATAGGGATTCCAACAGAAACGACTATCCACCAAGATATAAGCAACATTATTAGAATTCGACCACCTGATTAAAACAAAATCTTCTCTAAAGCACATTTTCAAAATCACTACCAACTCCATATTTTGGAAAGTGAAAGCGAACCAACCAAGGGCAAGCTTTATCTTTGCCAGATCCATAGAAAAAAAGATGCACTAGCGCTCCGTGAAATGTAAAAATTCGAACGCCTAATGCAACTATATTATGGGAAGCGCCATGCTGTAGGATACCAAATAAATCGGAGCACATTTATTCCCACATAGGAAGTTTCAAAACGATCAGTAATAAATAAGGTAGGAGAACAGCCAATAGGTCCCCAGGCTTCTGAGTCTTCCCAAGAATCTATCTCACACACATCCTCACTGAATGGAGGGAACCACCAAGTACGCCTTAAGTAAACATCTTTCCAGCCACGTAGGGGAAGCAGAAATCACAGATACACACAAACGTTCCTCTCAGCAATCGCCTCTAAACACAGCTCATTCGGGATCTAGCTTCTCGGTGATGCAAATTCGGCAAAGGGGTGGGAGAGAAATCCTGAGACGGCAAAACGAGAGAATGTGAAAGTAGTCTTTGCGGAGATAGGAGACAAAGGAGCCCTGGCAAGGAGCAGTATTGCAGCTTTGGACACAACCCTCTTCCCGCAGAAGTCTGCCTTTCCCGAGCCCGTGCCAAGTTTCAATCGTTTCGAGCAGAACGCACACACGTGCCCTCATATAAATGACCCATCTGCCTGGATGGATCCTGAACCGAACCAGAGCACCTCCGCCGAGGAAAGCTGGAGATCGAAGAGACAAGAATTACCCTTTCCCCTCCTCTCAGTTGGTGCAGAGGTCTCCACTGCCCCTTCGCCACCCGCGCTGTGCAACCAACCCCTCATCTCCCTCCCGCTCCCTCTGCCCACTCCGTGGGAGAAGAAGGCTGAGAACCAAAATGGTGGTGTGTTCGCTGAGGCGACACTTGCAGCACACGTCCCCCCCCACCCCCTTCCCTGCTCTGACGGCTCCCGATCGCCCGAAAATGCCCGATTCGCTCCCACCTCCCCACAAACGCCGCCATCCCTCGCGAATTGCAAGGTTACCACTCGCGGCGGGCGGGGGGCGCGAGTGAAAGGAATATGGGGCTGAGGGGGAGGGGGGGGGGGATGTAGCAGGAAAAAATGCCGGGGGGGGGGGGGGGCGTCGCATTCTTCACTTCACCGTTTTGTTTTCCGCCATTTTCCCGTCACCCCAAACCACCGACGGCCTTCGCTAGGGCTCTCGCCCCCGGGGGGCTCTGGCCCTACGGAAAGAAAAGGTCAGCTGAGGAGGAGACCCTTCCCTCCATTCCTGCAGCCGCCGCCGAGGCGGAGGCTCCAAACGGGGCGCCCGAGGGGGAGGGCGATCTAGGGACCGGACGCCACTTCCATTGTTCCCTTCGCCCCACGGTGCAAGCGGCACCAGCTCTCCTCCCCTCTCGGGAGCGACCCCGAGCGCAGGGGCCCCGAAATCCCCTCTCTTTTCTCCTGAGGAGCCTCCTTACCTGCAGATGCTGCCGCCGCCAGGAAAATTCTGACCGCGCTCCGAATTTCTGGGGGGGCGGGGGGGGGGCAAGGGGGGAGGAGGCGGGGGTTGCAGCTGTGGAGCCGTAAGGTCTCCGCGTTCGGGTTTCCGAGGTTGTGCAGCCGGAGCCAATCACAAGCGACCCTGCGTCTGCGAGGCGCGCGGCCGTGCCCTACTTTATAGCGCCGCCGCCTGCTGAGGTTGCGTTACGTCACGCGCCCGCGGCTGCAGGGCGAGGGGCCGGAGGGGGAGCTGCGCAGGCGCGGGAGGGCCGGGGAGGGTTGGGCTCGGAGACCCCGCCGCCCAGCTGCGGGGACGGCGGCGCCGCGCGAGAGCAAGTCCGCGGAGCCTCGATCTCGCGAGCCCCTGAGGAGTTTCCTTGGGAAGATTTTGTGTTTTTTCAGGTTTCCCAAGGGGATGAAAAAGGGAAGGGGGTGGGGGCGACTGTGGATCGGGGAATCTCCAATAGTGGTGGACTACGTTTTAAAAAAAATCGCCCCAAATATATATATATATATATATATATATATATATATATATATATATATATATATATATATATATATATATATTGATTTGGGGCGATATATAAAAAATATATATATATACTTTTTTTTTAAATCGCCCCTACCCTAGAGGAGGATTTGGCCAATTAGGCTGACGGGAGGGATGAGGTATATGCCTCGCCCCAGTACACCCACCCATGTGTGTTTTGCAGTTTTTATTCCTCACTCCCTCCTCCCTTCCTTTTATATTCCTCGATGGTAGACAATGGGTTGAAGAAAGTAGAGAGGAGAAAGGCATACAAGGGAAGGGACAAGGAACCTGAATGCTCCTGAATCTCTCCCTTGGAACGGGTGTGTGCACAAAATGGGAGAAGTGAGAAATTCAGTAGTGACTGGTGAGGAAAAAAGTGATGAGATGTGAGTAAAAGTTTGGATTTGAAGAGCCTTATACTGTATTCTGAAAATGTAGCTTTAGTACTGTGAGCATTTGAAATAAATAGCCTTGTTTAAGCAGGGGAGAAGCTAGGACACTAAAAATAAAGAAGGCAACTCACTATCTTTAGTACCTAAATAATGTATTTTACAAATAAAATATGTTATTGTTCTCAAGTTAACTACACAGTTTCTCCAGGTCTCTGAACCTAATGCACCACTAAAAGTTTTGAGAAAAATAGAGACATGATGTGAAAGCCCTAGCCCAGTACCTGGCTCAGTAGACGAGGTTTCTCTATGCAGAGTCAAGTAGTAAATATTTTAGGCTTTGAGGGCCATGATATCTATGTTACAACTATTCACATCCCCAATTATAGCACAATAGCAGCCGTAAACATCATGTACACAAATGAATATGTCTGTGTTCCAGTAGAACGTTATTTAGGGACACTGACATTTGAATTTTATGTCATTTTAGCATGTCACAAAAAATTCTTCTTGGAAGATTTTTCAACTACTTAAAAATGAAAAAAAAAAAAAACATTCTTAATCGCAGGCCATTAAAAAAAAGTCAAAAATAAAAGAAAGTATAAACAAGAGTTTAAGAAAAACAGACAGCTATCCAGATTTGGCCTGTAGGTTGTACTTTGCCAGCTCCTATAAGTGTTAGATATTTACACTTTTACTTTTCCTCCTAGATGAAGAAAGGTATTTCTATGAGTGTATTTCTATACATGATGTGTTTCTATATTGGACACTCTGGTAAGTCCTACTTGAAAGTTTTCCTACCAGTGACAATTCCAATAGGACATTGATGGAAGAAAGCTAAGAAATATGGGGAGCTTTTACATTAGTAACCTTTGTGAATGGTACATTGTAGGAGGTAGTTTTTAAAACCTGAAGATCATCTTTGCTTCTATTTCTCCAAACATCTGGTCCATCCAAATGTCTTTAGAATTCTACTTCCTTAATATCTGTGAAAGTCATCCTTTTTTCCCCATTCCTAATGTCATTACCTTGTTCAGGTTCACATCCCTTCTTACTTGGATTGTTGCAACACCTTCCTAATTAGTTTCTTTTTTAATTTCTTTATTGATTAAGGCATTATATATGTGCCCTTACCCCCCATAAGTCCCCCCACTCATGCCCTCACCCCCGTGTTGGTTAGGCTTATATGCATGCATACAAACCTTTAGTTGATCTCTCTCCCTTACCCCCACCCTCCCCTACCTTCCCTTTGAGGTTTGACAGTCTGATCGATGCTTCTCTGTCTCTGGATCTGTTTTTGTTAATCAGTTTATGTTGTTCATTATATTCCATAAATGAGTGAGTTTATGTGATATTTATCTTTCTCTGACTGGCTTATTTCACTTAGAATAATGCTAATCTGTTTCTCTGTGTCCATATATTCATCAGATCCTGATATCAGAAATCACCAAATCATAAAAATATCTCAAATCAAGCCTCCCCACTACAATTTCATTTTAGCTGAGGCCCTCAACAAATGGGATTACCGGTATGTAAAAACTTCCTAATTCATTTCTCTGCTTCAAGTCTCCCTTTACTCCAGTTGGTATCTTTTCTAGTGTAAAGTCTACACTACCACAGAAATCATTTACATAACAAAACAAACAAAATTTATTATCTCCTCTGCTTAAACATTGCTGTCAATTCCCATTAGAAGTCTAGGTTGATGCCCAGGCAAGGACAGAAGGAGGCTTATGGGAATCCCAGCTGGGCAACAATGTGGAAGATCATCCAACATATGTCTTTTAGATATTTGGTAGATATTGATTCAAAGGAGTGCACTGAATGCTAAGTTAAGGATGATTGTTTGTGCTCTTATTTTAAATAGTTGTTTTTTTACATCCCCTTCAGTGTTTTTGTAGTTAAATATTAGCCCCAAGACTAAGGTGACCAGATTTTAACATTGGTAAAGCGGGACACCATTTACGTGGGGGGATTCTTGATGAAAATTTGGTCTATATGGAGCAACAAAAAAATTCATAAAACGCAAAAATAGTATTGTAATATATTTTTTTAAATTTCAACATAAGTACAATTTACAAATATAATAAAAATAAAATTATGTATAGTATTGTTTTATTCTTTGGCATAGTTCTTATTTGAGTGAATTTTTTTAGTAGATTGCTGTCGTTTAAAAGGTCATGAAATTTTGCACAAGAATTTGTTAAATTATATTTCACACTTAAAATGGCTTTCAAAGTCTCAACGCTTAATTGTAATGTAAGTCGTAAGTGTCACTTTCAAGGCCGGCGCTAGAGTTTTTGCTGCCACTATAAAATATAAATAATACGAGTACTGTCTGCTAAATTCAAGAAAATTTATGTATTTATGAAATAAATAAATAAATAAATTACCTAAATTATCTGAATAGCTGATTTGTAATGACATCACTTGTTTAACTAGCTTACTAGCATGCAGTATGATATGTATCTTCTGAGAGACAGTTACAAAATGTTTTCATCGTTATGAATTTTGATAAGCAGTCCTTGATAATCAGTTCTCAACAATTATTTGTTATTATTTAAGTTTAACATGATAAAATTAACAAAAATAATATAAAACTCATATCCTGGCTGAATAGCCACATGGCCGCCGAAAACCATATATTCCCTTCCCGTTCTCCCGCCATTCCCTAGTTTGTCCTGCATTCTTTCCAAAAATTGGGACTTTTTAAAAACGCCTCGGGACAAATTGTTAAAAATCGGGACTGTCCTGCCAAAAGCGGGATGTCTGGTCACCTTACCCAAAACCAATAATATTAATTAGATGCCATAAGCTCTTTGTAATCTGTATCTTGTTTTGTTTTGTAGCTTGCTCACTTCATTTCCCTCTACTCACCTAGTTAATCTTGGCTAATGAATATTATTTTGTTATGTACATTTAGAAACCACATATTGCTCTCTTGTCATATGTTTTTGGAGTCAAAGTTTATTATGATATATATTCGCTTTAACTTCAAGCTTTTCTATGAAAACTCTTAGCCTTCTTACTTTAATAGTAACCTGACCATCTCCCAAGGAAATAATCTAAAATAAATTGACATAAGCACATTCTGGGTCATCAGACCACCCTATAACTGAACACTACCATACATTATCAGCACTTAACATTTGTATTTACAAGCACACTGACACCAGATGGTACAACTTTAATTGTTTTGGGTTAAATTGATATTGAGGAGTCAGATTTTGTATGTAAATTATATTATCCTCTACCAGGTGTACTGTATATAATGCAATTACTTGGTAGTTAGAATAAACTGGTCCGGAAAGTGAGTCATCCCACAGTGTATGATAAGACAGGCTGCACTCCATGTGCCATTGT